AGCGGAGACGGGTCGCGAGGGAGTGTGTGTGTGCGGAGCCAGCACCGAGGGCGGGGGCTGGTCGGCGCACGGCGGGCCTGCATTTGGGCACTTGGGCCGTGGCAGCGCCCGCGCCGCGGCAGCAGCCGGCGTGGCGGCTTCACGCGGGCCCAGGGGACCCGCGGCTGCGCGCGAGGGGCTCTCGAGACAGAGCACTCCCAACGTTGACGTGCCGCTGACAACGCCCGACGACGCGCCGCGCCCCCGTGCAGGGTTCGCGGAGGAGATTGCGAAGGCCGCGGGCGGCAAGTACTACTACCTGCCCAACGCGTCCGACGCGGCGATCGCGGCGGCCGCCAGCTCGGCGATGGCGGAGGCGAGGGGCCTGTAGAGCTGCCGGTCGGCGGTTTTGCCCCTCCCCCTTGTTTCGCGGCACTTCGCCGGTGCCCGTTGTCTTTTTGTTTTCTGAGAGTGTGAGCGGGAGTGCCTAGTCTCTCTCTTGGCTTTTTGCTGCGCGTCCGCGTGTAAATTTTGGGCAGGAGTCTGCTGCGACCCGCCGCCGCAGTGATTTGCTCGGCGGGGCTGGGAGGGGCCTGGCCGGGGCGGCGACGGGGGGTGCCCTGTTGACTGATGGCTGCGTATCCCTGGGCACCAGCATGTGTGAGGGCCGGTTTGGCAAGGGTTTGGGTGCTGCAGATGGGATGCCGGGCGCGCTGCCGCTGCCGCCATCTTCTGGGTCATGGGTTGAATCAGGAGGACGGGTATGTTTCTGCTGGCTGACAAGCAAATTGAAGCGACTTGGAAGGGGGGTGGAGGGGAGGGGGGTGGAATTGCAGTGATGCACTGGTAAAGCAGCACCCGCAAGATTGATGAGGAGTCGGCAGTGACTCGGGCAGCCCCAGGCCAGTCATGGTAGGCAGCATGACTGCAACATCAGACATCTTCCTGCAGGTTTGCTTGCCACGCCCTCGTCACGGCCTTCACTCATGGTGAACTTTCCCCGACACCCCTCATTACGGCAGGGGCAGGGACGCGCACAGTTGACCCGGCAGGTGTTGAGATACCGTGTTTGCGTTACTGTACCAAAAAAGCTTTGGTAGATTGGATTGACGATCCAGATTAGCGGGAACGTACGTTCCTTTTGTGGTGGTAAGGACCAGAGCTCCCGCAGGTGCGCACCTGAGGTTGACTGAGAGACTGGAGCCGCCGCATTGTCATACTTTGCCAATGTGCGCGCTGCAACAGGTCATCAAAGCGACCCCGCTGACACGCCGTACACCTACACCGTCATACACTGCCGGCATGCTGGCAATATGGGCTCAGAGTGCCTTTTAGATCCGTAGATCACAGGGCCCTCATACATTCACCCCATCGAGAGCTAAAATAGCAATTGCAGGCCAGCTTTGAGCTGGGTCCCACTTAGAGCATGCAGCACAGCTGCGGGTGCCCTACTGGCTCGCGGCCCGTCCTGCAAAGGCACCCGTTGGCGAGCCCCCGTGTTAGGGTTGCGGGTCAGTGCGGCAGGCTCCTAGCAGTGACTTCACATGGCTTGAGTTGCAGCAGCCGCCCACCTGGGCGCCGACGGGACGCGCTCGCGCCGCCCCGGCCGGTTTTCTGTGTCGCCGCCGCCACGTCAGCCACCACGGACCCACGGCCGCTGGTGCGGCAGCCGTTGGAGCTGCAGCGGCTCATCAACAGCATCCCGTATCGGAAGCTCTGCCTCTGGGCCAGCGTGGCGCTGTTTCTGTGGCCCCTACACGAGTTTTTCGGGGTGGGTGGTCGGGGCGCTTTCAGGCGCGCAGCGGGGAGGGCGGGCCCTGCGGGGAAGCCGCGCGGTGCCGACCGCGTTAAGCTCGGCCACAGCCCGGTCAGAGGCGACAATCATGGCAACCTGCCGTACCCGGGCTCCCTGGGCGCGCGAGCGCGCGCGCGCGACAACAGCAGCAGGAGGGGCAGCGTCGTCAGCGGCGGCGGCAGCAGCAGCAGTTGCGCCGGTCAACGTCCCAGGCTCTCGCGCGGCAACAGCCGCGGCGGCCGGCCCCTGTCCTGAGCGGCGCGCCGCGCCCCGCCTCTGCCAACTGGCCCCGCGTCCCGGCCGGCGTGCGCCTCAT